GGGCAGCCTGTTCCAGCTTCTGACGACCCTCTCAGTAAAGAACTTCCTCCTTATCTCTGACCTGAACCTCCCTTGGCACAGCTTGGTGCCGTTTCCCCTTGTTCTATCCCCCATCACCTGGGAGAAGAGCCCAGCACCCACCTCTCCACAACCTCCCTTGAGGCAGTTGGAGGTGGTGATGAGGTCTCCTCTCAGCCTTCTCTTCTCCAGGCTAAACAAGCCCAGTTCCCTTGCAGGACTCTGGAGCGCTGCCTTCCAGAGCAGCGCAGGGGGGCATGGGCTGTGCTGGAGCACGTCTGATGCACCTTTGGACGGGTTGGATCAGATCAGAGTCTAAAAAGAAACGATTACCTCCCTTCACTTAAACATCTATCGTTTCCTAATAAAGTATCCCAGGCATTGAATTTCAGGCCCGGTGTTTTCAGGGATATACGGGTTATTTCCAAGCCGAGCTATTACCAGTGAATGCGGTGACATTAATATGAGTAAATGCAGGAAAAAGGATGAAATAAAACATATCCTATTGAAGGAAATGAGAGCTCCTTAAGAAAGAAAAACACACATAGGAAAGATGTGGGCATATCAGGATACAAATGGGACACTGGGGAGTGCCGGATTCCACAAGCATGATGTTATTGAAGTGTTTGATACCAGAGTAAGCACCTGCAGATATGAATTACATCCTTGTTCAGACCACTAACATCGGACTACTGACATCTCAGGAAGTGCTTATGTTATATTTCAAATCCCACTGCCAACTGCACAAATATCAAATAAATCAATCATAGGTATAAAAGACGTTATCTTAAGGACTTTAAAAAGCTGAACAAGCCACCTCTCTTCTAAAAGTAGAACCACGCACATCATGTGGGCTTTTTCTGTCAGATGCACCTGAACAGCAGTACCATTAATGCTGCTGACCATCAGCCATCAAATGCTTCACCTCTGGCGACAGAGTTGGTACAGAAATCGTTAGAATTAATAATAGCTCAGGGATTGTGCCAAAGGTGTTGCTGTAAAGATACTTCCCATTGCCCTCAAGAGGTGGACATCTCCTTTTACAGATGTAGGAACTGAGGCACCAAGTGATGAACGGACTCAGGAGAGCTCTGTCATGGTGAGCAAACCAAGCACAGGACCAGGAGAGTCCTTGCAACGTTCGTCAGACCACACAATCTTTATTGTCAG